CCACGCGATTGAACGCGCGCCTCGCCGATCAGCCGAAGGTGCGTCGCCGGCCGGATAATGGCTTATTAACAAAGCGTTGCCGAGGAACGCGGGGAAGTGACAGAGGGGCCTTGACGAGAATCGTACGAAGGAATCGAAAAGAGAGACGGAGAGAATGCGAGAATCCTGACGCCGGGAGTCGAGTCACGGGTTACTTCGACGCCTTCGTAGAAAGGGTCCCAACACAACGGGGCTTTAATTACGCCGATATCACGGTAATTAAGCCGATCAATGCGTGCTATTGTGCGCCAAGCGGAGAGCCTCAGTGCTTCACCCGGGTTCCTATCCGCAATCCCGACCACGAGCCTCCTCCGCACGCCACAAAAGCATCCCACCTTCCGTGAGGATACAAGGACGCATCCTGCCTGCAGTCGAATCTTCACCGCGACCACCTCACCGCCGCCACGCCGTGGAAAAGCCACGACAAAGAACGGGGAGGAGAATAAACACAGTGACTCTCCCAATCTTGTCGATGATACGCAAACCGTTGGGTCTTCTACCTACCGGTGACGCGAACATCGGACATGAAGAACCATCGTGGGCACTCGAATGGATCCCTTCATGGGGAGATTATTTCGTTCGATCGTTCGATCAGATCCGAAGCTGATGGAATTCAATGGAGGGGAACGCTTCGCGGAGCATTGTTTCTATGCTTTTCAATCCTTTTAATCCTTTAAAGCGTGACGACCGAACACTAAAATCGTTCGACATCTTTAATGCGTTGTACTTAATAGCGGTTGTTATATTTTGCAGATAGATTTAAGGGGTTCCTAAAGTGATAGAATTATCAACATTACAGATTAGAAAGTTCTCCGAATTGGCTGTATAACGTACAGATTGTAAAATCTTTTTACATAATTAAAATACAAAAAAAGATACAAGATAATCGATATGAAAAAATCAAAAAAGTTATTGTATTTAGTATCATTATAATTTTTTAATTTTTTCTCGCACTTTTTATGCATATTTTAATTTGCATAAAAAGATCTTGCAACTTGTACAGCCAATTCAAAGAATTACTTTTTAACCTGTAATGTTGATAATTCTGTCATTTTAGGATCTCCTTAAGATTTTCTTGTATTCAATTGATGTACTTCATTTTCATCTAATTATTATATGCAATTTTCTTATTAAAGAAGTATAAATTAAGATTGAGAGAGATATATATATAGTATATATTAGTTTTAATTTTAACATTGAATTTTTGTTTGTAAAACTTGTTTAGTACGTTCCATTAAGAAGAAAGTTGCTTTGCATAGTAATTTATAAAAGCACATTAAAGGCACCGTAATATTTCGTTCTATCTTGACGAACTACATTTATCTTTAATACTAATCTCTAAAATCACGAATATATCATTCCGTTTGAATATCTGATTGCGTACCTTAGATTGATATGCGGTTCACATGAAACACGTTGGAATGCCTCGTAGCAACGGATGGATAAAGTCATTAATTCCAAGTTGCATGCGATCCCCGTTCGCAAAGAAATACTTACATTTTTAAATAAACATACTGCAATTATGGTAATCAAATAAGCAAAAAACAAAGCCATACGTTCGTCTAATATCTCTCCAATATTTCTGTATACTGTATTTCAATCTTTATAACTACAACAACGAAAATATCAGTATAGAAAATTTGCGAATAATAATTCGCTATCTATCGGCTCGCAAATTCTCTATTAAATTCCTTTTCTTACGGCATGGAATTTTGACTTACAAAATCATCATCTTCCGAAATAATCACTGTTTGATGATCTACGCAGATCTTAATATACACGAATATATTCAATGCTATACACAGTTACAGTATTTCTCGATTTTCTTGATCATCTCATGCTAACCACGTACGATTATGTTATGATCTCAGATGTATATTTATTTCTTATGGAAAGAATACGTACACATACACTGCAAATATTTTTGAATCAATAAATATGATAAACGATGTATAAGCTTCCATCCTATATGTCATATTGAAATAAACTTATTCTTATCAGACAACATATATATATATATATATATATATGTTTTAAATTATTCCACCTTTCGAAAAATCTCAGTTTATTCGCTCCCTTTTTTATCCATCAGTAATTAGATAAATACATAATTTATCCGAAGGTGAAACAACTAATCCTCATTAATTTATATTTATATCAAAATAAAGAAACTCGTATACTTATGTTTGTAATTCTCGTTATCTCCTACTCATTCAATATGACAAAAATTTTCGAGAGTACATTTATTAGATTTACATAATTTATTTCCTTAATTAACGAATGAACGTCTAGTTGCTATGTGTTCATAAGTCTCTTCATTAAATTTTTGTACAAGACGCAGAAAGCGATTTAAAAAACCGAGAGAAAGAAAGAAGGCGCGTTTGTTTGCTACTGCCTATACAATTTTTCAGTGTTTGTCATAAGAGTTAGGACACTGAACATCTCTTTGCGAAGAACCGCTTCATCCGGTGTACCCCACTGTTTCAAGCAAGAAAAATGTTCAGAAATGCGCCGACTTTGTTCCTCACTTTTTGATTTTAATGTCTGTTTGTCCCACCATTTCCTGAAACATGTACCAGAGGACAAACTGGATGCGTTCGATTCTTTATCCACAACTCACGCAGAGATATGGGGATTCCATTAGTCGTGTTTACTTGGGACTGTCAGAGCGCATTGAGAGACATATAGACTAGCAAAATATAAACCACGCTCTAATAAATTATTAGTAATAATAGATTGCGCTCATTTATCTTATAAAATTAATTAATGGATATGATTAGAAACGTTGCGAAATTTCCAAACTACATATTATTAAATATAACTAAAACAGAGAAACTTTTTCATAGAATTAAAATATCTACGTAAAGATGATTTCTCAAATTTTTATTATTTAAATTAAAGAAACGTACGATAATTTGTTATAACATAAATATATATTCAACTGCATATATATGAAAATATATCGTACATTGTATAGTTATAAGATTTTTATATCCAATCAAAGATAATTTTTCATTAGAATCGAAAGAGTAAGAAACACAGTTCGTACGTTTTTAAACATGTTTCAATATTATGTAAATTTGTATTGACCAATTGTATTATTTTTAGGTCACGGTCACCGGTTCAACCACGACAAGTACGAATACAGTCCATCCTAGTGTAAACGATATGGACTGGTTCGCCGGTGTCGCCGAGGAAGAATTATTGTATTACACCGGCGTCGGCAACGACGTCGATTCCTTGTGGGCTGTTATTGGGAGCTTTGTACCGCCGCCACCTAGACCACCTTATCTACCCGAAGAGAGCATCGCCACCGATGGGCTCACCACCTGCGATTTGTGTTCGTGGGCATGGAGAAATGATAGGCATTCTTTTTCTCTGGATGGCACCCTTGGTAAGTCTTACATTTTTCGTAATATTAGAATGCTATCATTTTTCTGTTCAGAGGATGTGCTAGTTAATTTTAATTTAACTATTTGTTATACAAATGTAAGCAGAAGGAAGGAAATTTGACGTATAAAATCCGCTCTTATAAAAGCTAGTATACATATAGACATAAAAAAATGTATAAATAAAATTATATCTTCAGAAATAAGTCCTGTGACACACTAAGATTAAAACATTCACAAGTAAAAAATTATGTACGAGAAATTAATCCTTTTTACAAAATCAAACTACTGATATTTAAATAAAATAAAACACTAAAAAAATAAGTACTTTAATTTCTCATTCTGTGTTTTATGCGGTTAACTTTCAAACATTGGATTTTATTCAAACGCTTTAATTGTTCCATATTAAGTCACTCGAACGCAATTCAAGGAGTTTCTATCAGGCACGAGTAGAAGTACTATCAAAATATGTTCGCTTCAAGTAATACGGCGTTTGCTAAGCTCTGTCAGTTTTTCTTGTCATCACTTCAGCTAGTAGTTCTCAAAAGACGAGTGTTCTTTCGAGCCATACATCTGTCCACATCAGGACCGAGGGTTATTCCTCGTATACACACTCGACTGTGTTTGCAACGTATTTATTCGTCAAACAGCTTTTCCAGTCTAGTACGTGCTTCAAGATTTGGGGAGATCCCTCTCGAATAAACGTCAACGAAGGTTCATTGTAACGAAGCTGTGAAATTCTTATTCCTCTAGAAACCCTAATGAAGCACGTTCAAATTCTCTTGTAATTATATCATACATAAATTATTATTTCATGTATTATTCTAATATAATTTATTCTAATATAAAATTAAAAAAAAGATAAATATATAAATTAAACAAAGGAAGATTTTTTTTATTGAAAAGTTAAACGTTAATTATGTAACAGTTGTGGTACATTTTATAAGAATACCTACACATGCTACGACTTGGCTTGCGAACTTTTCAAAGATTTTTATTTCTTACTCTGCCTACTGCGCGCAGGAAGTGTTACACGAGGATTTTCATTATTCCAAATTGCTCCAAATCAAGGGTTGGACACAGGATAAATGTCGGTTCGATGATGAGAGAGCTTATTATTACAAGCACACGAGGTGATTGTCTTAAGCACGTTCATTAAACGTAATGATTAGTAATGCAAAGGTGGCATACAACGACATACATGCCGCGTTTTTATCTCTTCTGTCGTGATTTTTGTCAGATCTTAATTAGGAGAGTGCAAAATGCATTCAATATACAGTTTTACATAATAATAGATAATGTTATATTATTTTCTCATGTATAATTACATGTTAAAAGAAACAGAAAATGATAATGCTGTATAAAAGACAGAAACAAATTGAAAATTATTAAAACCGCAGTAGATATTATAGAAGATTGCCACGCAACATTATTGAAAATTTCATGTTGTATTTTCTTATCTTATTCATTTCTTGTCTCTTATCTGTATTAGTTAGCATTAATTATTGTAACAGACATTGTCGCTAAAATTGTTTCCATTTTTTTTTATAGCGAAGGACACCCTCCAAATATATTATTTATACACTGATCAAATATTTTTTTGTTCTTCATTTTAAAATGAAGGAAATTGATCAAAATATTAATAAGTGCATTGCAACGATAACAATTGCCGACTACAAGAGAATTCGTCAGACCTTCCTTTACGTTTCCTATCGTAACGTGTAAACTGTAAGGGATAATTCTCGGATGCTTTCCCCCAACGTAGGCCGACCTTCACATCCGGTTGATGTGCCCCGACCAATCAGAAACACGCCGGTCCCGCTCTCATGGTTCTTTCTTTCGGAATCGGTGTTCGCACATACGCACGAAACATACGCAAGTTTCTGCATCATGACACGCGGTGCTTCCCCACTCCTTCGGTGGGCCTCTTCAGGGGCCTCGCCCCTATCCTCTTCCGTCCCGCGGACCCCGTCGTCCGGGCTCGCATTATCGCCATTACCATGAATTCCCGCAGTTATTACGCCTCTGTTGCACCGCCACCAAAATGGCGGCTGGGTGCATCCTACCGTGCGAGGAGGACGCACACTTCGTTTGCTCCTCTTTTTATTGTGGCGCCTGCGCTGCCGGCATGTCGTGCTACGTTATACCGCTCGACAATTAACGTCGAGAATGGCGGCGATCGACGGTGGGGATAATTGACCCTGTCAGAACTATGACAGCACTTTTATACTGTTGCATGATTCGCTGGGTCGATCTCTTCTCGTACTTTATATTTCGTATCGTATAACTGTAACGTATTTCCGGTCGCGATGAAAGCCGAGGTTTCAAATTAGATTCGAATCTAATCCCCCTTGATCGTTCAAGCCTTTGTTTCCGACGATAAAATCGTTTGATATCTCTTGCAAGTTCAATCACAATACCACAGACAGATCTCTATGTGCGTGTGAACAGAGCACACGCATATAACCATTTATAAACTTCGAATGAAAGCTGTTAGTCATTACGTCATCGTCATACCAATTAAATCTTAATTACTATCATGTTATAACTTGTTCTAACTTGAGAAAAAATTTACTCATTCTATTATCTTCATAAATGCACGCGTCATGTATTACATGGTATACGAGAAACATGTTTCGACGTGCGACTCTGCGTCCTCGTCGCCAAATCGTGTACATCGAAGTATGGCGCACGAGTGGAACCTGGCGATAAATAAAGAAAATAGAACCGGAGCAAGAGAGCGGTGCATCAGGGGCTTCAAGGAGGCTGGCAACGGCGGTAATCATCGCGTCACTTCCCATCCTTCACGACGTAATAATTACGAGATCGCGCCTCTTACTCTCGACGTGATGCAGGCCCGTGCTTGTCGACGAGGAAAGACAACGAGAGAGGCGGGGAGACCGGGACCAAAGAAAACAGAGGAGAGAGCGGACTTAATGCGAGCTTGCGAGTATCTTTCGGTCTTTTGCCTCGTGTCGACGTAGGCCGCACGATTCGGCGTGACTTCAACAGCGAGCAATAACTCGTACATTTCGCACTCGAAGATCTGCGCGAAGCTTCGTTAACGCTCGACGAGGGTGGCATTTATTATGAACGACGAGTAAAAATTTCACACGGAGAGCCAGTGAGAGATTCGCAAATAGAACAAAAGGTGATTAATTATTGTACTCTCAAGGAATGTTTCAGTCAAGGAAGTGTGTCAAGTTAACCGAGAAAAGTAGTTCGTGTACTTATTAAGTTTTCAAGTGCACAATAGTGGACGTTAAATTTGACTTATTAAAAAGAATTAAAAAATATATAAATTTAAATTTTAACCCATTTTTGCAATCTTTTAATATCTCATAAAAATGACATGACATCAAATCTACAATATATTTTATTACATAATATAGATTGAATTATATTTATATTATAAATTAAATTATACATTTAATTATTATGCAAATTAATATTGCTAGAACCTCAATAAATTTTTAACAAATTTTTTAAATAAGATAGATCAATAAATCGAAGATAAATAGACTTGTTCATTTTTTATCATAACAATCTTTTATGGCATTTTCGTTTAATACATTCGTAAAAATAATCTGTATCATGACTAAATATATTTTTATCTATATAAATAAGCATACCGAAAAAATAAACTTCTATATATTTGTAAATATTTTTGTCTGTCTCTAATATTTATCTTTTATTGTGTTAGAAATCTCATATTTTAAAATAGTTAATCTCAGCGCTTTGCATCGGAATATAAATCGATTTAATAATGCGCGACGCATAACGGTGCGCGTATAAATTGCCAGACATTAATTGCACCACGACATTAAGCAAAGCGAACTACGCTGCACAAAGCAGCCAGTCTTGATTTCCAAAGAAATAAGAAATAATGAGTTGCGATATGTAAATCATCCTCGTTCAAATACTTCCGGTTTCTAAGACTCTAGGTTAGATTAAAGCATTAATAATTGCATTAATTGTAACAGGGAATAATTGGGCTATTCAGAATAAATTGATATCTTCATTAATTTATCCGATAGATAGAATTAAACTTCTCTGCAATACAATTCGAAATAAAACCCTCCTTTAAATAATCAAAAATCGTACATCTAATTCACGCTATGTGCCTGCGAGCATGTTTTGCTATTTCCACGGTACGATAACCAGCAGGTAGCCGTACTCTCTCGCGTACATCCGCACTGGACTGATGTTATCTCGTTGCGTATACGCCTGGACCAAGGGAATGTAACGAGGCCTCCTTTAGTTCAACGGTAAGCATCTCTCCTCCGTCTCCTCCGTTCCCTCTTCTTCTTCGCCGTTTCACATCGTCGTTTCCTTTGGTCCTCTCTATCTTCCTTTTTCGACGAGCCACAGTGTCGGGCATTCCCTGCGACGAAAGTAAGCACCTTCGCACCTATATATCGCACGGTGCCGACGAATGCAAACGAGAACGAGTAGCAAGGGGGTCCCGTGCGCGCGAGCGAAAATTTCATGGCCTAACTCTCGAGTCCCACCTTTCCGCCTCTTCATGTGGCCCCGAGCAGTACACTTTTAATCTAAAAGCCGATCTCGCCCACGTAGATTTATTGGCAGGACCCCCTCCCCCGGCGAAGCCGTATTCGAATGCGTAGAATTTAACATTTGTTACGTCGTTTCACGGAAAATAGAACATTTTTTAATTGAAAGAAAATCCAAAAATATGACAAAAAATGTTAGATTAATCGATGTATATAATCGCTTCTTAAGGAAAAGATTTGTATAGTTAAAGAAATTTTTATGACGATCATCCTATTATTAGCGACAAGACATGTTAAATACGGACGTTTTAGATGCATAATTAATGAATATATGAATCTACAAATGTATTTTAAAAAATAGGTGATAACATTTTAAATAATTGTGTACATCATGTGTGTACTTTCTTCTTCAAAATGAAATTTATATAGATATTGGTTCGTTTAATTCAATGCAGGAATATTATTTTTGTGCTTCGATTTATTGTTTGACA